CTCATCATTGATGTTTCTATCTCTCTCTTCCTCTCCCTTCCTCTCCCTTCCTCTCTGAAATTAATAAAAATATATTTTTAAAAAACCCACAAAAAACATCAACAGCTGCCTCCTGCATGCCCCTACTGGGGATCGAGCCCCCAACCTGGGCATGTGCCCTGACCAGAACCGAACCATGCCCCCCTGTTGTATAGGTCAACGCTCAACCACTGAGTCACCGCGGCCAGGCTTACATTTTCAGCTATTATGTATTATCTAGATATTTTACTTATTCATTTAATCCTCCAAACAACACTATGAGGTGGAAACTACAGTTATGCCCATTTTACTGAAGGACATGGAAGAACATAATATCAAAACTAAATTCATACAATAGAAAGTATTGAGTCAGATGGGAAGCTTGGCGACTGGATGCCAGAGAACCGAGTCTTAACTGTGACCCTTCCTTCCTTTCTTCCCGCCCCAAGATCTCCTGGGCCTGGCTCTTTCTGAGTAAGTGGGACCAGTCTCCTCTGCTTGCCAGCTGGCCTTTCCCCACCGAGGCCCTGGCCCTACTCCCTCCACAGCTCCCTGAGCCCTGCTGAGGAGGCCCTGGCCCTACTCCCTCCACAGCTCCCTGAGCACTGCTGAGGAGGCCCTGGCCCTACTCCCTCCACGGCTCCCTGAGCCCTGCTGAGGAGGCCCTGGCCCCCTCACTCTAAGGCATCTGGGTTGTGAGCTGGGAGCTCAAGCAGAGGAGGGAATGGGAACCCCAACTGGAATTCCCTGGTCCCAGCCCAAGGGGCCTTTACTCTCAAAGACCCAGGTCGACCAGCAGCTCCTTATAAAGACAGGGTCTGAGCTGGTCCTCCCAGGTCTTGCCTGCCCCTCTGCATGCAGTACCAGCTCAGACTACCACTTTGCACCCTGAGGACAGCAAGCAGGGGCAGGGCAGGGCCTAGGCTGGAGGAGATGGGGCTCCAGGCCAATGGCAGCTGGGACTCAGAGCCTAGGGCTGTGGCAGAAAGCGCCAAGGTTTCCCCAGCCCCTCCTCACATCTGCCAAGACCCTTACCCCCAGCCCAGGCAGGACCCTCTCCCTCCCCACTCCCAGGGGTTCCAGGGGACAGGTCCTGGAATGCCTATTCCCTCTCTCCCATCCTCCCTCTTCCCATTCCCCTGGCAACCAGAACGGACCCATCAAGGAGAAGGACCTGGCAGCTGTGCAGGGAGAGACTAATGGCCCGGAAGGAAGGAGGGGCCTGGAGAGAGAGGCGGTGGGGATGTGAGCCTGCGGTTGGGCGTTGGCCCTTCTCAGAGGACACACAAAGAGGGGGAGGCTGTTCTGCCCTGCAATGCTGAAGGAGCTGGCAGCCAGGGAGCCACCCTCCTCACTGCCTCAGCCAGAGATCCAACCCGGAGTCCCAAACCTGCTTCCCCAGATGCCCAACTCTTGTCCTCAGGGTCAACCCCAGGCAGACTTGTCCCTGCTGGAGAGCCCTGGAGTCCCCTGCGGCAGCAGCCCCATGGCTCCTGGCAAACGCCGAAGGTCTCAGCACCCCGGCTCCTGCAGACCCTGCGAGCTGCCCCTGTCCACTCCCCGGCAGCCTGTGCCTGCGTTCTGGAAGCCATTTGACATGCAAAGGCCGGACCTCAGCCTTCCAGCTAACTCCAGGGTGGGGAGGGGAGGAAGGGATGTGAGGTGTGTGTGTGTAATGTGTGTGTACATAGGTGTGCAGTGCTATTATACATATGCGTCTGTGTGCACAGGCTTGTGGATCTGTTCTGTGGCCTTCTTTCTCCTTTCAGTCCCTGAACCGTTGGGGATGGGCATCCTCTCTTCCCCCATCTCTTCCCCATCCAGCCCCACCCATCCTTGGGTACCTGCACCTCCCTAATACTGGAAACCGGTTCCTGTCAGTCCATCCATCTCTCAGCTTTGGCAGCAGCCGCCACCCCTCAGCCCCCTCCCCTTCCTACCTCAGGAATCGTCCTGGTTCCCGTAAGGCCATGACTGCGCAGCAGTTGGTTGGGGGAAGGGAGAATCCAGGAAAGCCAGACAGCACACACCCGCTCAGCGCAGCTTCTGGCAGGACACAGACCCTGCCCCGAGGGTCCCAGAGCTGGGCCCAGTCACCCTCCGCCCCTTGTGATGTGCCCACCCTGCTAGGGCCTGGGTGGGCCCGGGTTTGGGAGCTGTGTCTTCAAAGCGGAGACATAAGCAAGCACCCCCTGGCCAACTGTCCGGGGAGGGGGAGGAGAAGTGGCCAGTCCATTAGCCGCAGAGCTGGCGCCAGGCAGCAGCCCTTCACTGGGCCCTGGGGATTATAGAGAGGCGGCCTTCCCCACTCCCTTCACCGCTTCTCCCCAGCGGTTCCCCGACATCTCGCTGGGGGTGGCGACAAAGGAGGTGACTGACAGCAGGTGAACGCAGAGCATAGCCTTCAGGGGGAAAGTGGAGACACGGGCTCTGGGGCCTAAGCCAGGCCAGCTCTCCATCCACCTGAGCCACCGCCTCCCTACCGTGCCGGAAGCCCCCCGGTCCTCCTATCCCCCAGTTTTTACCAGGTCTTTCCGGCTGGGACCCCAGCCCAAATCAGCCCTCCCACGGGCCAGCTCTCCATCCACCTGAGCCACCGCCTCCCTACGGTGCCAGAAGCCCCCCGTCCTCCTATCCCCCAGTTTATACCAGGTCTTTCCGGCCGGGACCCCAGCCCAAATCAGCCCTCCCACCCTATTCTCCAGCTCTGGATGCTGGCTGAAGAGCGCTGACCTCCAACCCCTCCTGCCTGAGGCCTGTAGTCGCCATCCCTGCTGGCTTCCCTACCAGCAACAGGGGGAACGGAGTAGGCAGGGCGCCAGCAACCGGGGTGGGAGGGTGCGGCGCTCCTGCTGCTGCAGGGGTGGGGCGTCCCCCTCCCCACTTAGCCGCACAGTCAGGCCAGTGGGAGGAGCTGCCCGTGCCCCCGCCGAGCCTGCAGGATTATAAAGCCTCCCGCCGCGGTCTGCGGCTCTGGGACCAGCTCTGCCAGCGGCGACTGCCCGTCCTCGGTCACCATGAGCCA